AATGAGCCCAAAATCTAGGTAAGGACATACTGTAGCTAACCAGGTAAGATGGAACCTCAGAGCCAAGCAAAATCAATCAGTTACCCAATAAACAGAATAAAATTATCACAGTCAAAAGTATGACACTTGAACAAGGCCTCAGAGCACTATTGGAGTGTCATGGCTGAAAATTTATCCCTGAAACGGTTACATGCTAGTATGAACCAGATAATCATGACAATCATATAAAAGTTAATAAGAGTACCAAGGTATAAGTTATTTACTTGCTCCTGCCTGGCTCTTCCAAAAAGGCTCCATCTCTTTTCAGAGGATGAGAAGAAGGCACTGTTTTCTCTCACAGTTAAGTAAACAGTAAATTTATTTACTGTTCTATTTTATGCTGTTAGCTGCCTAGAGTGGTCTTAACTGGGCTCTTCATGTTTGTAACTTCCAAAAAGGTTCCATCTCTCTTCAGAGGATGAGAAGAAACCATTGTTTTCTCTCACAGTTAAGTAAACAAGAGAAAAATGAGTCGAGGCACCACTAGCTTGTCTATTTATACAAGCTTTATTCACTAACATTACATCTATGTTCCATAAGCATAAAGATGTTGTGGCATTTGCCCAGGTCATGAATAGTCATATGCTATTTGCATAGACCAATGGGAGTGCTGGAGAGGCAGAGTCATGAGGTATAAGATTTGAGATAGAGAGAGTTAGAAAGTTGAGAGCGTTTTGGAGTTTGGGCAGGAGAGAGGTGGTTGAGGGTGGATAAAGAATGTTTGTTTAAGAGTTCACAACATTGCTTGTTCTGTCAACACCTCTATCAATAAACAATTTCTATTTGTTTCTTTTAAAATGACAAATGGCCTGGACATCTATCATTAGTAATAGGTATTGTTGATGAAATCAACTGGTGGCAGCTGAGGGCACATGGCATGAGCTCTTTGGTTGGTGAAACAATCAGGGGCCACGTGGAATCGTTACAGATGTGTACTTCAAAAGTTGAAAACTTGTAACTTTAAAGAGGTCCCAAATATGTCAGTACAAACACCATTCTTACAGCTGTGAAAAATGCTGTAGGTACAAATACTTTACAATATATGAAGATGGATTTCAAGTTGTAGATGAATACTTAAGTTAGACAAATATATTTCAGTTATTATCTCTTAGCAAAAAAAAACTGCATACAAGAACTTAAGTCTCATCTATCGAAAAATACAAGAGCTTATAGCCTTAAAAAGCGCATCATGCAAAAAAGTAAAAATCAATAAAAGTAGAAATACATTTCCTAGCCTTTTAGATTTGAATGAACACATGGACTGATTAGATAGACATAGAGAGGGTTTTTTAAGGTCCTTTTAAAAATTAATATATTTATTTTCTGACATATAGTTTAAAAGCATATAAATATAACCTAGCCTTTTAGATTTGAATGAACACATGGACTGGTCTACTAGTCAATATAGCAGTGGGCTTGGTGACAATGGAGCCTGAATAATCAGTGGGGCAGGAAGCAAAGAGTATGAAGCAAAGGACGCCAGGCCCAAAGTGAATTCCTGCCCCGTCTGTAGCCTTGGAAACACTGCAGATGGCCAGGCACGCGACTTCTTAGGGAAGCATCCCAATATATCTCTGGTGGATGAGGGATATAAAAGGGGCCCTGTCACAGGATAGAAGAAACCCATAACCAGAGAGAACCTGCAAGGAGCAGACTTGCATGTCTGACTTGAAGACTTTCCAAACCCAAAGGGACAGAAGGAGAAGACATGTAAAAAGAAACCTAGGGGACACTCCAGAGAGTTTCTCAGGGGCATATTGGGAAGATGACTCACCCAAAGAAGACCACGAGCCACCAGGGAGTGGGACTAACACGATAAAGAAGATCCCTGGTGCAGGATCATTGTCCAATTGAGGGTCCTTCACGGATTGCTGCCTTGTTGTGCCAAAGGGGCTTGAGCCAGACATCCTGGAGAGTGAAGTCAAGTGGGCCTTAGAAAGCATGAGTAACAACAGGGCCAGAGGAGGTGATGGCACTCCAGCTGAACTATTTAAAATCTTAAAATTTGACACTGTTAAAGTGCTACACTCAATATGCCAGCAAGTTTGGAAAACTCAGCAGTGGCCAGAGAATTGGAAAAGATCAGTCTACATCCCAATCACAAAGGGCAGTGCCAAAGAATGCTCCAACTGCCATACAATTGCACTCATTTCACATGCTAGCAAGGTTATGCTCAAAATCCTCCAAGGTAGGCTTCAGCAGCATGTGGACTGAGAACTCACAGAAGTACAGCTGGATTTCGAAGGGGCAGAGGAACTTGAGATCAGATTGCTAGCATGTGCTGGATTATGGGGGAAGCCAGAGAGTTCAAGAAAAACATCTGCTTCTTCATTGACTATGCAAAGGCCTTTGACTGTGTGGACCACAGCAAACTATGGCAAAGTTCTTAAAGAAATGGGAGAAATGGGAGTGCCTGACCCACCTTATCTATCTCCTGAGAAATCTATATGTGGGACAGGAAGCAACAGCTAAAACTGGATATGGAACAACTGATTGGTTCAAAATTGGGAAAGGAGTACGAAAAGGCTGTATATTGTCTCGCTGCTTATTTAACTTATATGCAGTGACAGATTTTACTTTCTTGGGTT